TCTCTTCCTAGTTTTTTTGAGTGTTTTTGTTATGAAAGGGTGTTGGATTTTGTCAAATGTTTTTTCCATTTCTATTGAAATGACCATATTTTTGTTTTCTATTTATGTGGTGAGTTACATTGATTGATTTACATACGTGCAACGAATCTTGCACTCCTGGGATAAATCTCACATGGTCATGGTGTATAATCCTTTTTATGTGCTGCTGCATTCCATTGGCTAGTATTTTGTTGAGGGTTTTTATATTTATAAAGTATATTGGTCTATAGTTTTCTTGTGATGTATTTGTCTGGTTTTTGTATCAAGGTGTAGTACTGGCCTCATAGAATGGGAAGTATTTCCTCTTCTGTTTTTTGTAAGAATCTGTAAAGGATTAGTGTTAATTCTTCTTTGAATGTTTAATAGAATTCACCAGTGAAGCCATTGGTTTGGGGATTTTCTTTGTGGGAAGTTTTTTGATGACTAATTTAGTCTCTTGTTAGAGGTCTGTTCATATTTTCTACTTCTTGAGCCAGTTTCAGTAGTTGGTGTGTCTGATCCAAACATGACATGAAGAGAATGGCACTTCAGCTCCAAGTTCTTCCCTCACCCCTGAAACCCATAATCCCAGTCTAATCATGAGGAAAACATGAGATAAATCCCAGTTGAGGGATATTCTGCAAAATATCTCACCAGAACTTCGCAGAGCTGTCATGATCATCAAAAATTAAGAGATTCTCAGAAACTGCCATCCCAAGAGAAGCCAAAGGAGACAGGATGACTAGATGCAATGTGGTGTCCTGGATGGGATCCCGGGACAGAAAAAGGTATAAACTAATGAAATCCAAATAAAGTATGGGCTTTGGTTTATAATAACATATTAGTGTTTCAACATACATTGCCATATTGATACAAGCTGTTAATAATAGGAGAAACTGGATGTGGAGTGTATGGGACGTCTCTACTATCTTCACAACTTTTCTGCAAATCTAAGACTATTCTAAAATAAAAGGCATGTTTTAAAATGGGAGCAAATACTTCCTCATATAATAAAGGCTGAGAAAATTAATCGTTGGAAGATCTTCAGTATAAGAAGTACTAAAAGAGTTCTTCTGGCTGAATAAAAATGATCCTAGATGGAAACATGGAATGGTTGAAAGAAATGAAGAATACCACATTTTAAAACAACATTCATTACAATATGTTGTTGGGTTTAAACATATGCAGAAGTAAAATATATGATAACAATAGTACAAAATGGGATAGGAGAGTTAATGGAGTTATCATAGGTTTTTTGCATTGTTGAGGAAGTGGTACTAGTACTAATTTAAGGCACTAGTACTTTAGTAAATTCACAGACGCATATTGTAATCTCTAGGGTAATCGTTAAAAGAATAATTTTTAGGGGCTTCCCTGGTGGCGCAGTGGTTGAGAATCTGCCTGCCAATGCAGGGGACACGGGTTCGAGCCCTGGTCTGGGAAGATCCCACATGCCGTGGAGCAACTAAGCCCGTGCGCCACAACTACTGAGCCTGCACGTCTGGAGCCTGTGCTCCGCAACAAGAGAGGCCATGGTAGTGAGAGGCCCACACACCGCGATGAAGAGTGGCCCCTGGTTGCCGCAACTAGAGAAAGCCCACGCACAGAAACGAAGACCCAACACAGCCAAAAATAAATAAATAATTTTAAAAAAGAATAATTTTTAAATGATAATTAGAAGTGTATAATCAGGGCTTCCCTGGTGGCACAGTGGTTGAGAGTCCGCCTGCCGATGCAGGGGACACGGGTTCGTGCCCCGGTCCGGGAAGATCCCACATGCCGCGGAGCGGCTGGGCCTGTGAGCCATGGCCGCTGAGCTTGCGCGTCCGGAGCCTGTGCTCCGCAACGGGAGAGGCCGGAACAGTGAGAGGCCTGCGTACCGCAAAAAAAAAAAAGTGTATAATCAATAAAGAAAAATATGGAATAAATGAAAATACTTAATCCAAAGGAATACAAGAAAGGAGAATAAATAACATTATATGAATGGAAAATTAATAGCAAGATGGTAAATTTAAATCCAACTGTATTGCATTTAATGTAAATGGTCTAAATAATCCAATTCAAAACAAAGATTATCAGGATTTTAAAATTAATCAACTATATGCCATTTACAAGAGATACAGTTTAGATGTAAAAATACCAGGTAAGTTGAAAATAAAAGGATGGAAAAAGATATACCATACAAAGACTATCTGAAAGAAAGCCGATATGATTATATTAATATCAGACAAAGTACACTTTTAAATTAAAAGAATTTCTGGACACATTCTAACACATTCTTTCACTGATATAACACTGCCCTAATTAACATGTGCAACTAAGCACAAAGAAGGACATTTCTTAGTGATGTGTTGAAACAAAAAAAAGCTAAAGCAATCTTAAATTTGTCTGAACCTAAAACACAGCTTCAAAATATATAAATCAGATGTTGACCAAACCAAAAGGAGAATAGACAATTCCACAATGGGATTACACTAGAAATCAGTAAGGAAAAGATAACTAGAAAGTCCTCAGTTGTTCGGAAATTAAGCAGAACACTTCTAAATAACATACGCATCAAAGAATGGAAATTAGAAAATATTTGAACTGAAGGATAAGGAAAATATGACATAAAAACTTGTGGAACACAATTAAAATGTGCTTAGAGGGAAAATTATAGCTTTAAATAGTTAAAAAAGGAGAACATTTGAAAACTGGTGATCTAAATTTCCATCTCAGGAAGCCAGAAACAATAGCATTGTGAATTCAAAGAACATAGAAAAAGAAAATAGTAAAGATATGAGCAGAAATCACTGAAATAGAAAAAAACATGTACAATAGAGAAAATGAATAAAGCCAAAATCTTGTCCATTGAAAAGATTAAAAACATTGATAAATTTCTAGTAAAATGGATTTTAAAAAGAGATAAAACACCAATTATTAATATCAGTAATGAAAGGAGACACCATTACAGATCATTTTTTTAAAGAACATATTATTAACAACTCCATGTTTCATAATTTAGATGAAATGGACTAATTTACTTGGGGGAAAAAAGCTTCCCAAACCTGATAGAAGATAAAATCTGAATAGCCCTATATGTAATACAGAATTAAACCTTTAATAAAAAATCTTATGACGTTATGTGCAGGCTGAGATGGCTTCAGTGGTATGTTCTTTCAAATATTTAGGGAAAAAATTAATAGCTATATTACAGACTTTTCCAAGGAATAGAAAAGAGGGAAGACTTCCAAACTCACTTTATGAGGCCAGCACATCTCAGGTACAAAACTTGACATGGACATTACAAAAAAGGAACACTACATACCAATATATCTTATGAATAAGGATGCAAAACTCCTAAACACAATATTAACAAATAGAATCTGATGATTTATAGAAAGAATAATATATCATGGCCAAGTGGGGGTATAGCCAAGGAATCTGAGGTTGGTTTAACATTCAAAAATCAATCAATATAGTTCAACACATTAACCGAATAAAGGATAAGACATGGTTTTCTCAATAGATGGTTTCCTTAATAGATGGGGGGGAAAACAGATTTGATTTAAAAAACAAGACATATTCATGATTAAAAACTCTAAGAAAACTAGAATGATAAAGAAACTGCCTTAAATTGATAATGGATAGTTTCAAAAACTCTAGGGCTAACATTTTAATTAATGATGAAATATTAAATACTTTCCGTGAACTCAAGAACAAGACAAGGTGTCCACTATTACCACTTCTATTTACACTTGCACTGAGATTTTCAATAGTGCAATAAGAAAAAGAAATAAAGGATATGAAGGTTGAAAATAAAGTGAAACTGTCATTATTTGTTGATGGCATGATTGTGTGTGTAGAGAATACAAAACAAACAATTTAAATTAATACATGAGTGTAGTGTGGAGCAAGCAACAAACAATTAGGACATTTTAAAAACTATCATTTAAAACAGTATCAAAAAAACTCATCTAGGTACCTGGGAATAAATCTAATAAAAGTTGTTGAAGACTTGTACACTGAAAACTACAAATTTTCCAATATTCTTCCTAAGTTTCTGAGAGAAATTTCAAAAGGTCTAAGTAATTGGAGGTATATACCATGCTCATTCATCAGAAGACAATATTTTTACAGCAAAGTAAAAACAACATACAGCTGTGTATAACAACATGGGTAGATCTCACGGAATGTTGGTCAAAAGAAGAAAGACAAGAGAGTACACACTGAATTATTTCATTTATATGAAAGTCAAGAAAAATTGAAACAGTTGTTCAAAAAATTGAACAATTGGGAGGTATTGACTGGGCAGTGGCATAAAGGAGCCCTCTGGAGTGTTGATAAAGTTCTTTATATTGATCTAGTTACTGGTTTCATGAGCGTATACATACGTAAAAATTCACATATGTATATATGTATTTTGTGCACTTCCCTGTAGTTTGCTATTATCTCAAGTTTTTACAATTTAAAAAAGAAATTTTGAAAAAAGCAATGGGAAACTATTGAGAGGTTAATAGAGGTGAATGACATGATCCAATTTATGTTTTAAAAACAGGTTTTGTGGGCTTCCCTGGTGGCGCAGTGGTTAAGAATCCGCATTCCAATGAAGGGGACACAGATTTGAGCCCTCGTCCGGGAAGATCCCACATGCCCCGGGGCAGCTAAGCCGTGCGCCACAACTACTGAGCCTGCGCTCTAGAGCCTGTGCTCCACAACAAGAGAAGCCACAGCAATGGGAAGCCCACGCACCGCAACGAAGAGTAGCCCCCGCTCGCCGCAACTAGAGCAAGCCCGCGTGCAGCAACAAAGACCCAACGCAGCCAAAAATAAATAAGGTAAAATTAATTATTATTTTTTTAAGAACAGGTTTTGTGTGACAGACTAGAAAAGGGCAGGAGCAGAAGCCAGAAGACCAGTTAAGAGGCCAGTGCATGGGCCCAGGCAAGGAGTGCCACTTGCTTAGACAGGAACCATAACGGTGGAAATGGAGAGAAGAGGGACGCTTTGGAGACGGGTGTGGAAGCAGGATCTGCAGGACGTAGTCAACCAGAGGAAAGTGTCACGAATGTCTTTTGGGGTTTCCACCAGAGGAAACGGAAGATGAACAGTTGAGGAATGCCAGGAAAGAAAATGAGGTCTAAAACTTGGGGTGGGAATGGAGATTTTGAAGAAGAGCAAAATCTTTGGATTTTGCCCAGGAGAGGGCTAAGGAATTCCTTAAGTGGGAGGCGAGGCTTGGCGGGAACAGCTGAGGCCGGGTTTGAGAAAGGGGCCTAGGGAAGGTTTGGGTGGGTAGGAGTATTTGGGATTAAGGTGCGCAGCGGAGAGGCGGGAACTTGGCCTCGGGAGGGGTGCGGTAATTCTAGGCCGTGAGAAGCCGCTAAGAAATGCAGTTGGAGAAAGGGGCAGACCCATAGGAACTAATAGTCGGCACCCGGGATAAAACCCGCAGGACTGGGAGGCTAGCCAGGACCCGCCCAGGAGGTTTGAAAATGCCGGATTAGGAGTGCCCGAGATTGGGGGTCGACCCAGCCTCACCCCTGGGGCGGAACCAATTGTGACGGCAGCGAGGTTTGCTGCCGGCGCTACAAAAGTGCCGCACGGGGACGACGGCGTGCGCCGGCGTGACGCGGCCGCGCGGCATGGGCAGGGCCGAGGCCTAGGCGGCGACGAGAGCTAGAGGCCGCGGCGGGACGGCGGCTCTTCCACCCGACCGCCATGAGCACCAAGCAGGTCACTTGCAGGTCAGTGCGAGGCCCCGCAGGTCCTTCCCCGGGTGCGCCCCAGTCCTGCGTCAGGGAAACAAGCCGGAGCGGGGTCGTGGAAAGTGGCTCCCGGTTCGGGGTCCGGCTTCCGCAGGCGAGGCGGGCGCGGCGGCCGAAGCCTGGGGCCCGGCGGCAGGAGCCTGGGACCCGGCGGTGCGTGGCCGAGCCTCGTGGCGACATCTGGACGAAGCCAGCGCGGGCGGCTGGAAGGAAGGACTGCTGGTGGGGTCCTGGGGGCCGGGCCAGGAGGGTTTAGCTGGAAAAGGTGATTTGGAGTTGCGTAAAGGGGCACCAGGAGGTGGTTTACAGATGGAGATACCACGCAGGTGTAGGCTGTTAATCGTCGGTGAGGGCCTCAAAGAAGCTGGGGCCCCGAAAGCGGCCTTGGTTTCCTAAGAGTTTGGAGAATTCCGATGCAGCGTAAACTTGCAGAGTTAGCGAGTTAAGAATTGCTGTGTGGAAAATAGCATTTACTGGAAGTTTGTTCATTGCCCCGCATATTCCCAAGTCATTTATACTCGTCACCAGTCTTCAGTACTAGGCAGACGTTATTCCTATTTTGCATTGCAGGAATCTCAGGCTAACGGAGGTTGAGATTCTCATCTTACTAAGAGACCCATTTCCGTGGAGAAATACAACATTAATGGGTGGCTGGTTGTAGAAAATTCAAAGCCAGGTGGCTGCACTGCTCCTGTTAAATACAAATAACTTGATGAGTAACACCCTCATTCCTTGCTAAGCGTGTGGCTTGAAGGTACTGGGATCCTAGTCTTATTGGACCTGGAAAGTACAATTTTTCTTTTCATAATTGGTTTAAGTCTGTGTGGGAAACATTGATTAGGGGGGAAAAAACCAGCCCACAGTTGTATGGTTTGATTGTGTAATGAGCAGTTTATTTAATTATCATCTGTGTTGTTACTTTTTTTCATTAGTATGAATAGTTGAGACAGTGTAATGTAAAAAGTTTCCTGTTAGCATTAGTCTACATTAACTGTTCAGTCAGTTTATGCAAGGCCTAGGTGACGTATATTTAGCAGTTGTCAGAAACTTGCACGTAAGTGTCTATAGAAAAGAATTTTACTAGGTTATTTGTAATAGAAGGTCTTTTGTGAAGACCTTTGTGTATGTTTATTTTTATTTGTATAAAGTTCCCCCTGTTGGAGCAATATTCTTAGTCATTGTGGACTGTATAGCAAATTTTGGTTACTGCTCCTAAGATGCGGCCACATAATGGTGCACGTTTATATGATGCTTTGTAATTGAACCTCAACTCTGTGTGGTAATCTAATTTTACAGATAAGGAAACCTTATGCTCAGGCTTGAACCTTGCCCCTAATTCACATCTAACTGCAGGAGCAAAAATGTAAATCAGGATCATCTTGGGTTTTCTCCTTCTATACTAGGAGATGGCCTGACCTAAAAGCTTTAATTCTGTTTTTCCCAAATAGGGGTGTCCTGCAGGAAGTTGGTGCAGAGAAACTAGAGTGGGTTGGAACGTTGGGAAGGAATCAATTCTGTTTAAGTACTAACTGTTGTTCGTTGCAGGGGTTTGCAGTGTGCTGGGTGCTCTTTGAGGTTCTTTACAGCCGTGTCGCATGTAATCCAGCAACATGCACCATTGCACAGATCATAAAACCAAGCCTCGGCATTGAAGTGACTTGCCAAGGTTATTCAGCTTCCAGGTGGCAGATATGTGGCATCAGAATTTATGCTCTTGTAGACCCTATGGCTCCCAGATAAGTTTCGGAAATGCTAAATTAAAGTTTCTTTACTACAGGAATTTTCAAAGCTTTTAATATGGTCATATGAAAGGAAAACTCAGCCAAAACCATAAGGAAAATAAAGGTTACTTGCAAAGAGATGTGAAGGAGTTGGGCCTCACAAGGGCTGCCTCGCCAAATAAAAAACAGAACACATATTTAAACAGGAAAAACGACCATATTACCAAGCGTACCAGGTTTACGTTAGTGTGCTCGTGATGGGAAAGCTTTTCTCACTTGATTATCTTATTCACTGAAGTCATATCTCCACACATTGGTAACTTACATGAAATGATCCAGGTATGATTTATTTGGGGGACCAGATCTAAACTGAGTGGTCTGCTGTTTTTGGTTTATGTCAGGGTGCAAACTGTTTTTGGTTTGTTTTCCTTGCTGTGGGGTGTGATATACTTGCTTATTCTGAATGTCAGCTGGACAGGGAGTTTGTTTTGCTTCCATTCTAATACGAATTATTTCTCTCAGAGAGATGGATGTGAAATGTTAGGATTCCGAGACTTAATGACAAAGATACTGCATATTTATTGCCTGGAATGCAAGAATGGCCCCTCACACAGTTGTGCTATCAGTCAGCTCCCCTGATTTCTTGACATTCCACTCTATCCAGAATTTCAATCTGGGGATCCTTTTTTGCTGATTCTTTTTCCAAACCATCTCCCTAAGTCTTCCAGTCTGTTTTCAAAGCCCTGGTGCAGGCCTTTATTATTGCTTGGTAACCAGTTTGTTTGTCCTCCTCCTCAGTGTGATAGAGGTCCCTTTGTTTTATAATCAGTAGTACAAGACCTAGAATTACAGTTTCCTGAGAGTCGGGCCTAGAGCTTTTGACTCACTGAAAGTCACAAAATATGGGGCATCTTGTGGCCAGTGAGTGGTAGGAGAAGCTTGAGCTCCAGACTTGGGCAGTTCTGGATTCTGATTCTGGTATCACAGTCTCTTTATCTGTAAAATTGGGATAGTAATGCCTAACCAGCAGCGTTGGTTAAGAGATTAGATAACAACGACTAACCATCCTAAGAGCATTTCTGGTGTGTTAGGCTAAGCACTGACATGCAGTCTGTGAAGTACAACTATATCATATTACAGATGGGGAAAAAGGTCTGGAGATTTAATTAATTTGCTCAAGGTCACAGGAAGCTCTCTGACCTCAGAGTCTTCCTTTACCCACTACACTGTACTTTATTTCATCCCCACCTCTTATCAGTTATTTCAAGCCTACTACCGTGCCTCGCATTAGCTGTGTCCCCCTTGATGGACCTTTTGTCACAAGCGGTACGGCCATAGAATTTAAGTCTGTGAAATTATGTGCGAAAACAGAAAGGAAGGTGACACTGAGAATGCAAATTACCCATATACCTGGAAACGATTTGCAAAAGTGTTTTGCTAGAGGCAGGCACCGTTGAAAGACCTGCAAGAAACCAGATTGATTCTGTTTGGTTCAGCCGTCAGGCTGGTTCTGTGGCCAGTAGTGAACCTCATATCCTTTGCAGCATATAATAGCCACACCATCTGAAACGGTCTTTGGGGTCACCCAGGATAACAGATGACTTTGGAGTGTCCCCTAGAAAGAATCTCCCTGCTCTGAGTCTCCAGCCATGCACTTCCCCCCTCATACTAGCAACAGCCCACACTCCTCCCCAGCTCCTCTCAGTCTTCTCTCTAGGAAGATATAAGGGATGGTTTGGCCATAGGGAAGGGTGAGCAGTTGGAAATTTATTACAGGGTGTAACATGAAAAGGGCCTGGATTCAGTTTAATATAACCTAGATGCTGAGGAATCGCTATAAGCGGATGACAGAGATGCCCCGAAGGACAGGCAGGATGCGCTCAGGGAAGTTTTGTGTTTGTCACTGGGGAGTGGAAATGGTGACATATGCTACAAAAATAGGGCTGGCTGGCTCTACCTCTTATAACACTTGTTTCACACCCACCTTTGTTGAAGGCAATGATGGTGGCCTAGAAGTTATTTTTGAACCTGTTAAGATTTCAGCTCAGTGACTTACAGAAGTAAAATGGCTTGCATGAAGTCACCAGCTTATAAGTGACAAAACTAGAAGCTTTAGGTGGTGGTTAAATATTTTGGATTTTTGATGGGAAAGATAGTGCAGTTTGGAAGGCAAGTTTTCTGAATAGGACTTCCTCTTGCATGCCTGGTTAACAGGTGGTATCTGGTAGAGAAGCTGTGGTAGTCTCTTACCCTGATTCTTTCAGGAAATCTTGTCTAGTTCTCCAAAAGAAATTATTAAATGAAGTATTTGTTAGATCTCTCTTTTGTGAACCTGTTTATGTAACCAGTGTGAACCTGTTCTCTTCCACTCTTTGTGAGTTTACTAATCCTGATCATCGGATTTGGCTCTTGGCACTGATTTTATTTTTTTTATTTTTTTACTTTTATACCTTCAAAGATTACCATACTTGAGGATGATTGGAACAATGTTACAGTGTTGAGTAGCATTTCTCAAGAATTATTACCAGACTGCTTAGAAGCGTCATAAACTTTCGTGTCCAGGATCCCAAGACCACCCCTGCAGCTAATGATTGGCTAGAATGACCCATGGGACTAGCGCATAGTCGTACTCAAGGCTAAGATTTATCACAGTGAGTAGTGAGGAGTCACAGATGGATCACAAGGGAGAAGGACTCAGGCGGCATCTGGAGGAGCCCATGTGCAGGCTTCCTGCCCTCACTTCCTCCCATAAAGGGTCACAGCACACTCTTCCTCCCGCAGCAGAAATGCAGCAGCAACATGTGCCCAGGGAAGCCCACTAGAGATCCAGTGCCCTGGACGGTCACCCTCTGCCCAGCATGTACCCAAACCAGGCTCCCAGAAGGAAAGCAGATGTTCAGCGTAAACCACATTGTACACAGTGTAGGCACAGTGAGCCACTTTGATCACTTAGAGACAGTTTATATCAGTGTAGGGAACTGTTTACCAGCCAAGTCCCAGGTGCTATAAGCAGGGCCTTGCCTCGTAAGCAGGCTCAGACCTGCTCTATTAACTCTGCTGCATACTTTTTAAATCAGTGTTGTGACAAGATTCTTTTCATATAGGCCTTTTTTTTAAAGTTTCTAACAAGAATACCCTTCGTTTGCCAGATTCTGAGCCTTTTTTCTTTCTTTTTAAGTAAATCTACAGCAGCCTTATAGCAAGTTACTACACAATCTCTGATTTAGTGGAAGACTCCCAGTGGGTGTTGCCTGGGAA